TTTGAGCCAGCCCTACCCCCAAGGGCTGTAGGGTGGGGCTCAAAGGAGTCAGTGTGCTAAAATTTCTTCATTTTCCTTGTTTAGAATCAGAGGTGCTAGTTTCAAATACTTTTTAGTCTGAAATCTGTATGCTAGATATTGAATAAGGTGGTTTTATTGTTTTTTGTCACTTTGAATAATATTTCTGTTCATGTTAAAAACAAAATCAACTCTCTGTATAAATATATCAGGTGACCGTTAAGGACCATGGGCCTCTTGTTTTATATACCAATTAATGTGCTAAATTTGAAAATAAATCCAAGCCTGGGCACATTTGAAATGTCACTTTTCTTGGATTACAAGGAGATATAGAGTAAATACCCGCTACTGTTGACTTACATGTACATAATGTGTTATGCTGAAGGTTGTTTGTGACGTTAGCCTAATGTTTTGTTTTAAGATTTGTTCATTTATTTTTTATTTTATCTCGTTATGCATTATGTATATAGCCAAATTCATCTTGTAAATTACACCATATTTGATTGTGTTTGTTTTAAGTTTACCAGTAAAAAAAGTGCATATGACTCATTGTTTATTGTTTCTGCGTTACATCCATGAAGCCTACAGCTAGGTAAATGGTAATTTATATATACCACTGGTATCTGGGGTAGTATAAGTTTAATGATATACTTATATTTGTTAGCTACTAGTGCTTGATTACAATGTAAAAACGTCCTTCCCGAGTGCTTAATCATTAAGTTTTGTCGAATAGTGCTTGAGTTGTATAGTGCTGAATATAAAAAGTATTGTAAAACTTGATAGACTATCCCTTGTTTAATTTGTGCCCTCGCCTACCACAAACATATTTAAATCACCTCTGCATTTTTCGTGTTAATTCCTATGACATTTAGCTACACCTGATTTTTAATGCCAAAAAATCCTGTGGGCAAATGGAGGCAGTATAGCAAAGGTTTTACTGCATGTTAACTAAATCAAAGCCTGTTCAAGCAAATCAATACTACTATTAAGTATTAGTTTAGAAATATTTCAACATTCCAAGTTGGTTTCTGTGTTGTTGTTAAAATCAGTTATACAGATCATATGAGTGTTTTTGTGGGAGAGAGGGTGGTGGTTACCATTGATAGGTCAAGAGGAATAATTTGTTAGAATGATTCCGGTATACAATAACTTTGTTCACTTATTTTTATTTGTTTTTGTTTGATATAGATAACTGTCCACAGTACATATGAAGTACTTTACACCTTACCATATTTACAGTATGTATTATTATATCCATGTAGGTATCGGGATTTGTCCTTGTTGTTTCTCCACTATCTGGCACACAGTCGGCCATAGGTAAACTTAATGGTAAATCTGTGAGTCCCGAGTTTACCAGTATTTCCCTAATTATTGGTCAATAGTCTAAACATTCAGAGGAATCACAGAATATCTTGTTGAAATTATTATGATGATTTTATACAACTTTTGTATGGCACCATATCTAATCCTATGTAACCTTTCATTGCATGACCTATCCATAAATATATGTATATTCATAATAATCAGGAGAGAAGGTGACCAGCTTATTAAAGGCATCTTACCATGTTTACTCAATTTATAACTCCATACGTGTTGGGAGGGGGGCGATAGCTGGAGGTGGTGTAGGTGTTCTAATTGTTATCCAGAAGCTACAGCATAGACTAATACCAAACCATCTAATGCTCCACTCTGTGGTGGAGCTGGGTAACAACAGCCAAATGTCTCGAGGACTACCACATCCTGCCATTTTGAGGAAGTTGACCTTCCACCACAGCAGTCATTAGGCTGGTTGACTACCAACTGTGGTGAACTAGGATTGTTTTGTCTTTAGTGCTATATACATGTACTGGTAAAAAAACAGCAACACAAGTACACTGAAAACGTTAGTATATACATGTACTGGTAAAAAACAGCAACACAAGTACACTGAAAACGTTAGTATATGGCCATGGTTTCTTTGCTATTTTGGTGATCAAAAAGTGATTAAAGAGGAGATAGCTATTTTGGACTTTAAGGCGCTATGCCCTTTTATTTTATATTATGTAAACTGTATGGTTTAGTCACCAATTCTGAAATTTTATGTATTTGTTTTGAAAACTATTATCTTGTCTTAAGTTTGGAGACATTGATGGTTCTGTTGTATCCAAAGGTAACAATTACATTATGTAAACAACTTTTAATTTTAAAACTGAGTAAAGTTTTAATTTTATCAGAATTTTGTTCCAAAACAAATCATATTCTTTAGAGGAAGGTGGGATTTCTATTTGAGAGCTCCATATTAAAACAAACGAGATTTTTTTTGCTTTTGCAAAACTATTTACATGTATTGATCAAAAGGTAAAGCATCCGTTTGTAAATATCCATGTTGTTATACAATGCTGATATCACCTTATCCTTTGTAAGGCTTATTATACACATGATGTGTATATACATACACCTATACAATGATTGTTTACTATGATAAATAAAAGTAAAAACTGGATTGAAATTGTCTCTTTTGTATCTCTGATCAGTGATTCTGATCAGTCCTACATATTTTTCTAATGGACATTTTTTTAAGTATGAACAAGGAGTAAATTGGGTTCAATGTTAAGTGCATACACTGTATGTATTTATTGAGGTATGGAAGTGTATCCGGTACTACCATAGATATCTGATACCCAAAAACTGCCATTAAACTATCGGAAAGTTAAAAAAGGTGCATTACAATCCTTATATTTGCATTCAAAATAATGAAGCAAAATATGTTTTATCTTGCTTTCTTTCGGTTAATGATGCATGTTAATTTTAAGAAATATTGGAACATCAGTATTTATGGGAACAAGCTGTTTTTCTATGGTTTACTTTCCCAACAGGCGAACTCTTCAAGAATGTCTACTGGAGTTTTAATTCAACTTCACAACATCATTGATCATTGGTCCCAATTTTCTCTGAACAGTATGACTGATGAACAGTTTCCTGTTGAATTTGTTATCAACTGTATACAGCATTTTCTAGTTGTAACGTCAAATTAACAAGTGCTAGCCTTAAATATTTTCAACAAACAAAAGATCCCAGAGGTATCTTGGCACCAACCATCCTAGATTTTCATTAGTTCTATGGAAGTTTGATCTTTTCTCTTTGGATTGATAGTACTGTATGCCAGAAAATGTTCGCCCTTCGATGATGATTTCCATTTTCGCCAATATCAATTTGCCCTGCACATTTAATTACTTTATTATATTGTTTACAATCGTTCGCTGTTATAAGAAATACAGTTTATTAGGGAGGGCGAAGAAGATGAAAATTAAACTGCAACCAAAGTTTCCATGTATACAGTAATCAGTAAATGCATCTTGTGACGTTTTACCATAATTTTATACTACTGTGTTAGGCATTGTCCTAAAAAAATTGAAGTTGTTGTTTGATTTTATGTGTAAAAATAGGACGAGATATCTGTTTTCTGGCAGCCATATCTTCCATGTTTCTTCTGATCAATCAGTCTGAATCTCAAAAAAGAAATACAGTAAATCTGTGGCAGAAAGCTACTTATGAAATTCAAGAAATATGGATTACTTCCCTTTCGGAGAAAGAGGGAATTCGTTATTACTGCCTGGCAGCCATCTTGTTCTCATGATCGATTCCCAAATTGGAAATGCATAACTAAGGTCCAATGGAAACCAACTATGAAAATTTAGAATGTTCTGTCTACTAACAAGATGGTTGCCTAGTTCCAATCAGTTTTAATGCTTCATACAGCATAATTATGGACTAAGGGGAATCTACATATGAAAAGTTATGTCCACTAGTTTTTGAGAAATGACGATAACCGTCAAAATCCAAGATGGGTATAACTGGCGGCAGTCTGTTCTATTCGTTTCCACCAGTGCACATTCTTTTGGAGTGAAACTAATATGTCGCTAGTTCC